TGAGCTAAATCCTCTGCCCTTCCGTCTCAAGTCTCTCTGCGGCTTTAATAAGGCTTGACTTTAAAGGAGTCTACTTGTCTTTGGATTTAGGAACCATCTGGGTAATATAGGAAGATTCTTAATTATATCTGTAAAGACTCTTTTTCCAAATAAGGTAGTACTCAGATTCTGGGGATTAGGACATGGACATCTTTTCGGGAGCCGCCATTCAACCCATTGCATTCATTATATGTGTTTATGTGCCTTTTGGATCAAGGAAATAAGCTTCTGTCTGAAGATAGGTAAGTGGATGAGAGAAATTTTAATAGAAGGTATAGAAGAACATTTGAAATATTTCTAGTTGGTTCTAAGTGTTAGGGAAGTGCTTATTAAACTTTCAGAGGTCAGATATGTTGGGCACAAGCTGGAAAAAGAGTGTATTGATATAAAGTAAAAAATGTGATATTTTCTCCCAAAGACAGTCACTGACATTGCCTTGATAGAACTGAAGTAATTAATTCTAAAGTTCCCCATATTTTTGTGCTAGCTTTTTACATTTGTGAAACAAATAAATGACTCAATTATGTTAAAGCATTACATCTGATTTTGTATGATTGACAGTATTGAGAGTTGATGTCTCTATTTGTTATATAATTGGGGAGAGAGAGGAGAAAGGGGAGAGAGGAGAAAGGGGAGAGAGATACATTGTGTAACTGGTTTTAGTATGATCAGTTTCTTATAGACATAGCTTTGGTCATATAAGTCAAGATGATCTGTGCATGTAAATTCTTTGAGGATGGGCACTTGGCAAATCTTGTATGCAATTAGATCCCTTGTAGACACATTGTAGATATGCTCAGAGAGCACTTGCTATATGAATGAAATAACATTTTATGACAACCACATCAGGTAGACACAAGTTCCCATACCATACTGCTTTTTAGAAAATCTTGGACGGTAATATGACTAGTCATTATAGGAGTGTCCTTGCTGACTTTTAAGAGAATCCACTAAGCCCATTGATCATAACAGAACCTGCAACCTTTTTATCTTTAATAATCTTGAACTCTTGGCCAAAAACCTGTTGTCTTTGCCAATGAGTTATCTTCTGCCTGTGGTTCATTTCTCGCTAGTGTGGGGCTCAGCTCCTAGCAGGGGTGTTAGATGGAGGCTTTTGTGCAGTTCTTCAGGTTGTTAGTGTTAGATGCTGTTCTCTGGGGAAGGTTCAGGCTTCTGTTCTCTGAAAAGTCTGTGAAGTTTGACTCATTGATAAAGATTTTGTTGTTAACAGATGGAAGTAGAAGGACTTTATGTACCAAGATCTTCCATGTACTGTCTCTTAGAGTTCACTTCTAGCCTACCTTAGGAGGTTAAGTACTGTCATTGTCCCTATTTTATAGAAGCACAAAGAAATTAAGTAACTTGCTTAAGTTCACACCAAAATTTGAACCCACATAGTCTTCAGAGCTCTGTTCTTAATCATGTCCAGTGATAGACTCATGCTCAGTGCATTCATAAGTAACCTGTTCTTTCATTGCAAAAGCTATTTTTTTTTTCCTGTACTGGTAAAACTCAACAATTTCTCCAGTATGTATCACAGTGTTTTTTGTTTCATTTTTTCATTTATCTTGCATGGCATTCAGTAAGTCATTTTTATTTAACAGGTCTGTCATCTCTTCAGGGGAGTCTTCTTGTAATTGTTTTGATAGTTACTTTTCCTGTATGTTCTTTATTGTCCTTTTGGAATTTTTTACTTCAGTTAGACCTCCTAGGCCTGCCCTGTAGTTCTTCCTTCTTTTCATTTAGGAATTCCATTTCTTTTTATTTTTACTCTGGAGAGTGTGATATTTATTCACCTGCTTTGGCAAATAACAAATTTATTCTTTGGAGAATCTGTTATACTTTTATTTCCTCAATTGGAATTTAAAATTTATAAATCATATGTGAAGAATTCTACAGTCTATTATTACTATCTAGCATTCAACAGCATATACAAGTACACATGGTTTATTTTAGACACAGGCTATTTCAACCTTAAGAAATAGTAATAATGTAATATACCATTTTACTAATCAAAGGAAAAAATCTTTTGTCATTTCCACAGATGTTGCAAACATATTTGATAAATCCCTGTTCTTGGTAAGAAAAAGAAAAAAAACCAACAACAAAAAACCAGCCCCCTCCGCACCATCAAAAAACAGCTTTTGGTAATCCAGGAATTAAGAATATTTAACAGCCAGTGTGATTGTTAACATTGAAAGTGTACTTTGAAAGTGAAATATTTAAGCGACATTCCCCAAGTGTGTCCACAGAACTGTGGATCTGTATTTTGTATAAAAAGGTATCTTGATGTGTTATGGTAAAGCGGATATTACAACAGGTACTAATACTTTCTTGACTTAATAGAGTAGATAATTTATTTTTCCGTCATGTGATTGTCTAATTTGGTAGACAGTTTTTCTCTGTGATGGTTCAGGGAATCAGGTTCCACTGTATCATTTCCTAGAGTCTTGAACTCCTCTGTTGCCAGCTGGTGGGATTGCAAAATTGGATAGAGAATGCACACTTCATTCTCAATTACCTTGGCCTGAATGTGACACACATAATTTTTGTTTGCATTCCCACATTCCATTGGCCAGAACCAAAGAGGTGACCTCAACTGTGTGCAAGGTGTGTGGGTAGGAAATTGGAAACAATATTTGGCCATGTAGCCACTGGAAAGGAAATAGACATTCTTATTTGTGGTGGACAGAGTGGAAATTAGAGCCTGAATAGAAGGCATTGTGGTAATATTTATCTAACTTAAAAAATGTATATATCCTTTGGCCTCAAAATTCTTGTAGCAGATATTTCTACAGAATTATTCACAAATGTTTGTATATTTACATTTTATGGTTACATTTAACAATACTGTGATAGTGTACTTTTATTATACACTAAAAGGTGAAAACATTCTAAGTATCTGTCAAAAGGGTTTGGATGAATATAGTATTGTATATCCATAGAGTGGAATACTATAGAGATACTAAGGAGAAACAGAGGGATATGTATATTGACTGCAAAGAAAAAATCAAGGCACAAGTTTGTATGCAATGCTACCACTTATTTATTTTTTTTAATTTTTTGGTTTTTTGAGACAGGGTCTCACTATGTAGTTGAGACTGACCTGGAACTCACTATGTAGCCCAGGCTGGTCTCGAACTCACAGCAATCCTCCTGCCTCAGCCTCCCGAGTGCTGGGATTACAGGTGCAACCCACCACGCCCGCTAGCTACCTCTTATTTAAAAAGAACATATGCGCGTGCGCACGCACACACACACACACACACACACACATTACATTACATTATATATTCATAGAATATTTGTGGAATTACCAAAAACTGAAGGAATTATAAAAGGCTGGTGACAGGGCTTGCTTCTGGCCAAAACTATAAGGTAATAGGATGGGATGAAGGAAAGACACACTTGTACTGTATGTGTTTTTGTATCTTTAATGTGTACTTGTTTAAATAAAGATAAATATCAGTTGTAGAGTGTTAATAACATGGAAAGATGGTTGGAATATATTGTTGCTTGAAAAACAATTTACTGAAAAGTATGGACAATATGGCTTTTTAAAATAAATAAATAGCATATACAGAAACATAATGGTTTACTTGTGTTTTTTGCCTGTCTGTATTTTTATCTTTTTAAATAATGAACATATATAACCTTTAAAAAATTTAAAGAAAATTCTAAAAATTATAAAAAGAAACAGTGATGTTTTTCTTAAAGAGTCCTTGTTGGTCCTGCTATGAAATCTTCCTCTATCTCTCCTGTTAAGTTAAATGAGTGCCTCCTTTCTCCTTCCATACCCCATTTCCCATACATTCACTACATTTTGAATTGCCTTATCATGTTCACGTTTGGCTCACCTACTTTGTGCATTCTTAGAGTACTTTGGTCATACAAAATTCATTTGAAACACTCCCTCCGTGTGCCAAAGCCATGCAGTAAATATTGAGTTGGAATTTAAAACAGAGAGCACAATTAGTAAATTGGTACATTCTATTCTTTCGTGATGCAACCTGTCCTCACTAATATACCCCAAATATCACTGACTCATTAGTAATGCTAATGGCTTATTAGGTACAGTTCAAAGCATGTGGACCAAAGATTTCCTTTGTGAAATGACTTGGTTGCTTCCAGGGATTTTTGTGTCTGCATCCTAAATTGATCAGCTTGGAACTATTATAGAAGTATATATATTAAATGATCAAACTAAATAGATACAAGAATAATCAAGATGATATGGTCCCTGTACTGGTAGTATAATTTAGAGAAGTTTTCTTCTACTTCTCTTTACAGTATTTTCTTTTCCCATTTCTATCCTTTTGCTGTGGTCCCTCCTTGTCCACATAGGAATATTTATGGCACAGGTTTTTAGGAGTCTGCCTGAACGAGGAAAATTACAAATAAAAGAATTGGAAGCTGACAAAATTTGCAGAAGTAAGATTTTAATTGAAAATTGCTTGAGAATAGGTTTGATGGCTTGGGGTCTCTGTTCTACTCAGTTTTAGTGCCACTGTATCATTGTCATGTGTGTTTCTTCCCTGTGTTCTAGTCACAGTTCTTTCTACTTATAATATCCCAGAAGTTCTTTCCAGGGGTTTTCTTCATAGTTTTTCGTTTGAGATGTCCTCTGCCTAACCACTGATCCAAGTTCTACTGTGTGATTGTTTAATTTGTCAACTTGCCTGGGCCATGGGTGTATCTTCTTTGGGGGGTGTATCTTTGAGGGTGTTTCTAGGGGAAATTTGTATCTGTAGATGGAATAAAACAAATTGCCCTCATGTGAGTGGGCATCTTTAAGTCTGTGACTGGCCTGAATAGGACAAAAAGATGCAGGAAAAGAGAATTATCTTTCCCCTGGAGCTGGGACACAGGCCTTACTATATTGTACTTGGATTGGAAAAATGGTAATTTGCCTCAGTTCTCAGGTCTGTCTTGAACTAGAATTCTTCTGATTCCTAGACTTGTGGACTTAATGAAACTATGCCATCATGTTTTTTGGATCTACAGTTTGCAGACCACAGATGACAGGGCTTCTAATCCTCCATGTTCATGTGAGCCTATTCCTCATAATCTGAATCTTCCTCTGCCTTTCCCTGCCCTCTTATCGGTTCTAACTATGGAGAACCCTAATATGACCACCTTCCCATAAAGAACTAGTTTAGATGTCACCCTTGTGAAAGAACTCATAGATTATTCCAAGTCAATTTCTCCCTTTCCTCATTTCTCATCTTCATTTAAATCATTGTATTCCATGAGAGTACTAATTACTGTTCAGCCATTCTGTGCACATCTGTTGAGTGTTTACTGTGCATATGTTGTTCTAGGAGTAAGGAGAAGACCACCAAGACTGTGTGTCCTCAAGAAGTTCACAGAATCATGGAGGAGGCAGACAAGTGAGTGTCAGTATGGTATGTGCAATGTGTGTGTGTACAAGGTTCTGTGGGAGCAGCTAAAGAATTAGGGCATTTCAGAGAGAACTGAATATTGAATGTGGAAAAATAAGAGGTGAGCATGGGGAATTTTTTGGCTGGCGGAATAGCAAGTTGATCATGGAGCCATAACGTGTGGCATGTCTGAAGAAGAATGGGGGAAGTAGGTGATGACATTAGAAAGCAAGAAAGGTAGAATTGTGATTGGCTTTTGTGCAAGCTAGTAAAGGTGAGGTAAGTTTTTTGTAACAGTGTAGAACCCTTAAAAGATTTTGTTTATGGAAGTAATAAAAGAAAGCCTCCCAAATCTGTGATTCTCTTGAGGACAGAGATCAAGTCTTATCTATCACTGTATTACCTTAGCACCTAACAAGGTTTAATCAAAGTTCAGTAAATTTTCTGAATACTGCTCTCATTTTTTTTTAAAGAATTGGTTTACCCAAAATAATGACAAATGGTTTTGAACACTTTCTACACTTCATCAAATCTCTAAGCAGTATCTTAAACCTAGTCCTTAACAACTCTTTGAGGTAGGTATTGTAGCTTAGAGGGTTTGAGTGAGGCATAGTAGTTAAGTCTACTTAGGTTTGAGTTTCAGTTTCCTCAGTATGTTTTTTTTTTTTTTTGTACCAGAGTTTGAACTCAGGACCTTGTGCTTGTGAAGCAGGTGGTAGAAACACTGAGCTAAATTCCCAGCCCTCCTCACTAGTTTTGCATTTGAAAGTTAGATATGTTTCGCAGTTTTTTCATCCATAATATGATGAAGATATTGTTACAGGGTGTTGTGAGGATTAGTGATGTGTGTTAATACCTTTAAAGTCTTAGGTCCCCTGCTTGCTATGTGATAACGTGAAATAAATGTGTGTGGCTATTATTAAGAAATATTTTCCAAAGTTACACAATTTCTGGAGAAGCTCAAGATGAACAAAGCAATCTCAGAATCTACCTTTAATTACTATTTTATACTAAACTACACTATACCATAGCATAGCATAGTATAACTTCTTCGATTATAAATTAATGGATTCTGAAGCAGTGAAATTAAATGAATTTCAGTTCACATGGGAAATACCATTTGGAGTAGGGAGTTCTTGTGGGCTTTTCAAATAATCCTTACTTAACTCTTCCATTGCTACCCTCCTTGCACATAGTTATGTGCAAAATAAATCTGTAGACTTTAAGTAAAAGTCATTAATTACAAGTTCATAGTGCACATGACTGTAGACTATCTTTAGGAGTTGATCTCATGCTGACATCTGACACAAAGTATCAAGTCTTGTTGCTCTGTTCCCCTTCCCCATACTCCCCAGATTTTTCCAACTTTAGGACCAGAGTGGGAGTCTTATGTTGGAGGATGTTGTGCAAACCACATACGTAAAGACAATAATTTACATTTTTCCTTTCTTAGCTTCTGGAACATCAGTGATTCTATTCGCCCACTTCTATTGGGCAGAAATTGTGGTATTCTCCTTATGCTCCCTTATTTTCTCCAAAACCTGTAATACACACGCACACACACACACACACGCACACACACACACACACACACTCACACAAGCACATATAATCACACTCTGTGCCATACATATAATCGGGTTTATAATAACTACTATTTTTTTCTGACTCTGCCCAAGAATAATGCATTGTCTTTGGTAATAAACCCCCCCAGAAATTAATCCATCCTTCCTTATTTCTATCCTTTCCATATACCTTTCTCTTATCAACTCAGAGTTTTAGCAATTTTAATTATTTCAGCTTGGTTAATATCATTTGATCAGAGTGCTAAACTCTACAAAATTATAGCAGTGAATATCTATGTCTCATAGTCCAGAACAAATAACCATCATAGTTTTGATATACAAAGAACTCAGTTTATACAGATAATGTTGTTAAGACAAACCTTTTTGCTGGTTTCCTAGGAAAAGGAATATGAAAAAAAGAAGCCTTAAAAATTAGGACATTTATCTTCACCTAAAAGCCCAGATCTGTGTTGAGTCTGGGTCATGATTGCACCACTGGGCTATTCAGGTGTGTTCAAAACAGTGTACCTGCTCCTTCAGAACTTTGATGAGTCCTGGATTTTGTTCAGCATGTTGCAGTATATAGAAACACTCAGTGTGAGTCCGCAGATGAAGAATATCTCCCAAAGCTGAAGCATCCTGTGTGAGAGTGTGTGTTTATAACTTTGAGATGTTCTCCAAGACTCAAGTAAAAGTGATATTCAAATTTGAGTTTGGTATGTTCTACACATAAATCGCCCTCTCTATCTCCAAACTTCCTTAAGAGCTTAGATAAACATGACCAAATTAAACCCCAAGTAGGTAAAGATAGCAGAAACTAGCCAAAATTTAAAGGAATATTTAATAGAGAAGACTAACTTTGAAAAGTATGATAAATTTGATAGACCCCTAAGTAAAAAAATATGTTGTGGGAGCCCGGCCATGGCCCTCTAGGAGTTTGACATTTAAAAGGAAACTTCTTCACCTCTACACTCAAGGCATTGATACAATCTGTAACATTCTAGGACTCTGCTTGTTAAACTTGTTGCTGCAATGGAAGAAACTCAGAGAGACAGCCATAGATCTGATGTTCTTTGTAAAGTCAGAAAATCCGGTCTTTGCATAAAAAATACAAATAGTTGCTTGGTGCTTCCTGTTGATGTGAACCTATAAAAGGAGCTGTTTCTGTGAAATAAATCAGACTTCTCTTGATCTCCACTCAGGCTTGAGTGGTCTTTCCTTTCTCAATCCTCACTCCCCAACTCAGGCATGTTCGTGTTGTGACCGCTGGGCTGCAACAATATATATTCCTCTTAATTTAAGGAAAGTTTTGCACAAAATTCAAAGTTCAACAATTCTTGACTCAGCAAATTAGGAATGGAAAAATTCTTTAAGTTGATTAAAATATCTACAGAACACCTATTGTAGTATGATATTTAACAATGAAAATTTAAAAGCCTTTCCCCTCTGATTGAGAACAAAGTGTGGCTGTCTTCTCATTCCAAGTCCTAGCTAATGTAACAAAGTAAGTAGAATAAGTAAAAGCCATAAAGCTTAGAAAAGAAGAAGTCAAATCTCTTTTTTAATAGAAACAATTGTTTACATGTAAAATCTTAATCTAGAAAATGATTAATAGAACTAATAAGTGAATTAAAGGCCATATAATGTACAGGCAATATATAAAACATCAAAGTTGTTTATGTCTTAGTTACTTTTTTCATTGCTGAGACAAAATACTTGAAACCCAAAGTTAAAGGACGAAACATTTATTGTAGGTTACTGTTTGCAGAGGTTTCAAGTTCATAGGCAGGTGGCATGGCAGAAGGGCATCACAGAAGAGAAATAGTTCATGTCAGGCAGAAGGCAGCAAAGCAGTAAAGTAACAAGCTGCAAGTGACAACAGCAGCCCTCTTTCTGTCCCTTATATTCTATCCAGGCTACTTACTCTTAGGGAAGGTATTACACCCAGGTGAGGGCACCTATAATCCCAGCATCATGTCCTTAATCCCAACATCACATATACATACACACACACACACACACACACACACACACACACACACACACACACAACACACACACACACACACAGAGCCAGCCAGCTCCAAAAAGCCCCACATGAGGTTTTGGGAGGACATCTAGAAATAAACCATAACCATAACATATCAGCCCCACACAAGTGGAAAAGGCAGTGAAGAACATAATCTTATATAAAACTACCAAAGATCATTTAGAGATAGATCAGAGGCCCAAACATGAAATTAAACCTTTAAAGAAGAATAAATAATGCTTAACAAATTTGGTTAGGCAAGGATTTCTTAGGAGAGACATAACACTAAACAGGAGAATATAGATGAATTGGAATTAAAAACTTTAGCTTATTAAAAGTTACTATTATAAAAATGAAAAGGAAATACAGTGGGAGAAAATATTTACAAAATGAATGTCTGAAATAGGACATGTTCAGAATGATCACTCCTATAAGTCAGTAATAAACCATTAAAATGGACAAGTGATTTGAGCAGTTAGCTTATGAGGGATGATATATAAATAGCAAATTAAGCACATGAAATTGTCAATACCACTAGTCTTTGGAAAGTGCAAATAAAAATCACAATGTGACACCACATCCTCTAGAATAACTGAAATTCAAAAGAGAGGCACCAGCAAATGGGTAAGATATGGGAAAACTATTGGTGGGAGTATAAAATTGCACAACACTTTAGAAAACTTTCTGGTGGTTTCTTTTAAAATTAACAATTCCATACCCAGAAATTCTTCTAGGTATTTGGACAAGAGAAATGAAAACATATGCCCACAAAAAGACATGTATAAGGATGTTAACTTCAATTTATTTATACTGGATCCAGGCTGGAAATAAATGCCCATCAAAAGGAGGATAAATATGGGCTGGGGATTTACCTCAATGGCACTATGCCTGCCTTGCAAGTGCAGGGTCCTGAGTTTGATCCTCAATTTTGTGTGTGTGTGGGATAAATGTGATAATATTCATACAGAAAAGTAATAGCAAGAAAAGAAAAAGAACTATTCGTAGTAACAAGAGTAAATCCTGAAAGCATCATATTGAGTGAAGGAAGCCAGAAACAATATATGGAATGATTCTATTTCTTTGAAGTTGAAAGAACAGTCAAACATATTGATAGAAGAAGAGTGGTTGCCTGAGTGTGTGTGCTAACTCTGGAATAATTGATGTTTGATGTCTTGATTGGGATAGTGGTTAAATGGGTGTATACATTCATCAGTACTTGTTATTACTTAGGGTTGAACAGTTCATTGTATGTGTATTTTACCTTTATGTAAACCAAACTAATAAAAGTTATATGCTGTTGTAATAATGACCCAAAAATTTAGGCAAAAATTATAGTAAAGAACAAACAATGCAATGAATATGAGAAAATGAAAAAATGGAAACAAAGTAAAATGGGAGGGATGGAGGTCTTGGAGGGAGGGTAGGGGAAGGGGGAAAAATAAGTATCAAGATACTGTGTAAAGGTACCAATCTCCAATGATGGATGTCATTATATTGTACACCTTAAATGTACCAATAAAATTTAAAAAAGAATAAACAGATAATATTATCAGACAAAGTAAGTTTCAAGAAAAAAGCATTACATGAATGTTGAAATCAAAATGATGCATTTTTATTAAGGTAGTCTTCATTAGAAATTATTACATCTAGCAGATTGAGCATTGAAATACATAAACCAAACTATCATAAATAAAAAGGGATTTGAGATGGCCATAATAATTGCAGAAACTTTAAAAACAACTCTTTTAGTAACTGACAGAATGAGGATGTATACAATTTGAATGCAAAAAAATCAATGTTATATGTAAAGTTCTATATCCTATAAAGAGACAATATGTATTCTTTAGCAATGTCTACATTAAAAATTACACAGTGTGATTATATAGTGTGCCAGATAGAAAAATTCTGTAAGCAGAAGCTAGAGTCTGACTGCATAATCATAAAATTTAAATTGATAATTAAAGATTAACAAAGTAAAAACATCTTACCTTGAATATTTTTAAAAGACACTGTCACTTTTTTGAGCAAACATAAAATGTATACACTAATGAAAATGGAAACTTCTTCTACAAACTTAAGAGTATAGCCAAAGTAGTACTCAGAGCAGATCAGTAGCCTTAAACATGTTTTAATAATAAATGTGAAGAATGAGAAGATTGGATGAAGAAATTAGAAATAATAAATACTATTGAGAATGTAAGAGATAGAAGCTAACAAAGGTAAATTCAAACATGACAGAATTGGTAAATATAGAGAGTGGCTCATAAATCCATTCATTATGCCAGAAAATAAAAAACTTCTTATAAGGTGTGTCAAAGAAGAAAGGAAAACAGACAACCATAGAACTAGGAAGGGGTATGAAACCACAAATATGAGAGAGTGAAGATATTACAAATAAAGATGATACCCATCATTAAAGGATCAGAAAGTCATGATAAAACATGTCTTTCTTCAAGGAAAAAAAATCATATTTTCAAAGCTAAAGCAGATGTATACATACTGGAAAATAAAGATTTCGCTATAACAATGTTATAGAAAATACCTGGAAATATTCAAGGAACAGATATCTCATTGTTAAAATTAATCTTTGGATATTAGAAATATGCTGAAATTTTCTCAATTCATTTTTTGAAATAAGTACAATTCTGATATTAAATCCGACCAAACTAGTATGCTTGCACAAACATACAAAATTGTTTCAACCTTAACTATACAAATAGAAGTAAACAGTCTACAGGAATACTAGAAAATTGGTTCCTGCAATATACTAAAATATTATCTATAAACATGTAGATAAAGGCTTATTTTGGGAATTTGGATTATTTAACATGAAATGTATTCATGTAATTCATTATATTAAATTAGATAAAAGAGGAACAATCAGGATTCCAGAAAGGCATTTAACAAAGCTTACTACCTCTTATCAATTTAAACTCCTAGTAAAGTAGGACAAGATTTTCTTTTTCTTTTTTTTTTGGTACCGGGGATGGAACTCAGGTCCTTGTGCTTGTGAGGGAGGCGCTGGAACCACTGAGCCAAATCCCCAGCCCAGTAAATGTTCTTAACCTATTCATGAAAACTGTTCATGAAAAACTAAGAATAAACATCTTTTTTTTTTTCATTGAGTTTATTGGTACTTTTTAGGTATACAGTACACTTAAATTCATCATTGGGATCTTGTACCTTTACATAACAGGTCTTGGTTCTCATTTTTTTTCCCATACCCCTGTCCTGCCTTCACCCCCTCCACTCTTCCCTATTTACAAAAACTTTGTTTCCATTTTCTCATATTTTTTCTTTTCCCTATTTCCTTTCCTGTACCTATTCCACTTCCCCTACACCTTTAGCTCTTTTCTTCCTATTTCGCATGGCCACTTACACCATTTGGATCTTATTTGCACTTTTAGTTTTTCACACCAGAGAAACTATTTGGTATTTGCACATGTGTGTCTTATTTATTTCATTTAAGAGTATGGCCTCAATATGCACCCATTTTCCTATGAATGACCTAGTTTCTCATTCTTTATGGCTGAGTAGTACTCCATTTTATAGAAAAACCACACGTTCCTTATCCAGTCTCCAACTGATGGGCAACTGGGCTGTTTCCAGGTTTTAGCTATTACAAACTGTGCACCTACAAACATGGGTGTGCATATATCACTCTGGTATGATTCTTTTAATCCTTTTGGAAAGTTACCCAGAAGAAGGATGGGTGGGTCAAATGGAACCTCCAGTCCAAGCTCTTTGAGGTATCTCCATATTGATTTCCATAGTGGTTGCACCAGTCTGCACTCCCACCAACAATGGAGAAGGGTTCCTTTATCCCCACAACCCCACCAACATTTGTTATTGGTTGATTTCTTGATAGCAGCCATTCTTAGTGGAAT